TACGGGGTGCACATGCACTCGCTGAGCATGGTGGTGTACCCCTTCAAAAAAGGTGCTTTTGTTCTAATTGTGGAAGAATGTGGATTTTGGGGTATTTTAAAAAGTGAATTTGGGATGCTGCCTCAGCAGTCTAGCTGACACAAGGGGCTAGTGTCCCCAGATATCATTTGCCTGGGTGACCAGAAGCTCCTGAGGTCAAGTAACCCTGAATTGCTGGCCAGGGCAGGTTTTTGTACAGCTTGGGCCAGGACAGGGCAGCTTTTTGTACTTCTGGGGACAGCACAAGTGCTGGACCCAGGCTCTAGCTCCCCCTGGTTGCACATCCGGGAGGAGCCAGGCAGGGTTATTTTGCCCCAAGTGGCACAATTTGCTCCACAACAAAGTGCATGTCCGAGCACATGCGCTGAGGCAAAAAGCCCCGACTCAAATTTGCACCGCTTCTATTTGAGCTGCTGCAAGTGCACGTGCTTGCATGTGTGGACACGCCCTCTGGGTGCATCTCTTCCAGTACAAAAGGGCATCACTACCAACATTGTAATTGGAGCAGTACTGGGCTTGACATGCAGGCCACAGCAGGTCACACCTTTGATTTCTCAGCTTCTGATTGTGATACAGCTATGACAGAGAGCAAGCCTGAGGACTGTCTGCCCCTGCTTACCAGAAGGGTATTAACTGGTGAGCCCACTTGCTCAGGAAGCAGCAGACATGGGTCCTAGGTCCTGCTTACCCAGAAACAGTTTGAACTTGCATCATCTTTTCCCACCACGGTGCTCTAACCACTAGGTCATAAGCTAGGCTTTACCTAGAGCACTCTCCATCTTGCCTCTCCAAGCTTTCCCCTTTGGTAGCCAAAACAGGGTGGTAAGTGGGAGGTGGCCCAAGGTTTCATGCTGCTTCCAAATGCAAAGAAGCAACTCCTATGTTATGCAATCATTTCAGCCACCAAATGTTAAATTAAGGGTGCAGTAACCAGTTCAAAGGGAAGTCCTATTCCACCACTGAGAATAAGAATCCCAAACTGCATAAGGGTGAAGCAATACAGTTACACATGTGAATAGTCCATAGGACTGGGTCTAAGAGTCCATTCCAGAGATGAAGTGTGTTACTCAAGGCCATCCAACAGAATAGTGGCAGAGTCACAGGCTCTAGATTTCCAGCCATGTAGTATTTCAGCAGAACAATGCCCTTACCTTAGAACAGCTGGATGTGGTCAAGAATCTGGAAAGAGCTATCAGTGATTTTTCATTGTTTTTAAAGCATAGACAATGTGCTCAGCACAAAACGGTGTGGAGAAAAAGAAACAAACCTGAAAAATACTATTGAAAGGCTAATGTTATGACCATTTACTATTGTTTGTCTCTAAATCCAAATGACTGTTTCATTTTGTTTTTAGTGAGACTGTTGAAGAACCATCACTAGCATTGGAAGTACAGAGAGCAGGTGAATGTGTGATGCACTTCTTTTAGGCTTTTATTTACTTTCTTTAATGTCTTTATAATCACCTATAATTTCTTTAATTCTTTCATTCCTTTAATCTCAGTGATAATTTGGATAGTGAAAGACTATCTCAAAATTCCAGTTTTCTAGAGAATAGCTTTGCTACTAGTGTGGAGCATTTCTCCAGAACAGACTTTTTCTGACAAAGAAAGTCATGTTTTAAAGGGAAGCTCTTCACACCTTCCCCATGGTTTTCATTCTATCTGGCAATTCCATGCACAAACTTCCATAATGAGACACTCCATTAACAGCCTGCAAAATTAATCCAAAACTATACCCAATTTGTGGGTTTTGAAGAACCAGCTCTTTCATATGGATTGCTGTGTGGGTTGCTGTTAAGACAGCACAATGCGGCCTTTGCTTCCATGCACTAGGCACTATACAAACATGCTTCAGAGATAGCAGCAAAATACATCAAAATATAGACAAACCTCCTCCAGAAAAAAAAGAGCATGCACTGGTTCTTCCTATGTATTGGGCATGTCTTTGTGCTTCAGCACTGCACCAAGGATCATCACAATGAGGAATGCAGCATGTGCTCTGCATAAGCTGTCCTGCCCCTGAAATGGAAGTCAGGTGGTGTGTGTGCATCAGTAGGCTCACCCAAGAGCTACAGCTGACTGGATCCAGCCAACACCACACCAATGGGTGGTTACATTGTATCAGTTTGGAAAGGCAGCATTCACAGAAGCAGGCATGGTGTACCTCACTTCAGCACTCCCAGCTGGGGTATAATGCCACTTAGATAGGCCCGTTAGAACAAAAGGTTGCAGGAAATTACTTCACAGTAATGATAAAACAACAGCTGAAAACATGCATCATAAAAGTGGAAATGAGTCACAGGTGAGCTGACTGTACATGTGTTTTTGTTTACAGGTATTTATGCTGACATGTGCCAGGCCTGGGATACAGAAGACTCTCTATACATGTCAGAGGTAAATATCTTATAAAACCTTCAGTAACAGAACCCCAGGAAGTTGGCCCACAAAAGGTCTCCTGGCTCCCCAGCTGACCCCTTGTATTTTGCAGGCTCTTCACTATTTCATTCAGTTCTAATATCTGCTCTGTAATCTCTACACAGAGGCTGCCTCTATCCATGCAGTGGAGTCTGTTCCCTAGCCCAGTTGTTCTATCTCTTAAGATCTTTGACTCTAATCTTGCTATCCCTCAAGTCAAGGGGTATTTTTCCACTGGCTTTAATGGGAGTACATCTGAGTAATTTTTCCTAATCTTCGTAGGCCCACATCTTAAGCATGTACATAAAATCATGGACCTCACATAAAGTAAATGTTACCTTAGTTAACATAACCTTAATGAAGTAAATGTTACTAAGGTACAGTAAATGTTACCTTAGGATCATCGTTTAAAATGGTTATTGAAATCTTTGGATGCATTGCAATATAGATCACAAATACGAAAGCATTATTACTACTGGCTGTGGCATTAGTGAGCTCATTACTGGATGCTGTATCCAGTTCTCATGTTCACACTAAAAGGAATGCTGATAATCTAAAGAATGTTCATAAAAGAAATATGAGCTTGAAGTTAGGTCTAGAAACCCTTCCTCAGTGTGAGAGACTAAAGAAGCTCTATCTATTCAACTTAAAAAACAAGAAGGTTTAGCAGCAATTTGATCATGAGCTAAAAGCATCTCTATGTACAGGAATTTTCTACACAGAGAAGGCTTAAATCTTGGTAAAGGTTCTTAAGTCTTCCAGCCAGAGGCAGAAGAGAATGCAGTGGCTGGAAGATGTAACTGGATAGATTAATTCTAGGAATAAGGTGCACACTATTTTCTTGTTACACAACAGGTTATTAACTACAGGAACAACTTACCCAGGGGTATGATGAATTGTCCCTCACCTGAAGTCCTGAAATGAAGGCTGGGTCTTTATAAAAGAGAGGTGGGAGCACTATCTTAAATTATTTGGGTTGATGCTGATAGCACTTGCTGAAGTTCTGCAGGCAGGCTCAGTGGGGATCAGACTAGGTGATCACTCTGGTCTCTCTCTGCCCTTCAAATCTATGAAGACTTTGTACATTTGAGGCCTTAGTGCCTCCTCTCTCCTTTCCATCCTTTGGATTGCCCTTCTCTCTACTATCTCTAGCTCTTCTGTCATCTTCTTACATGCTGGGGACTAGAATTGCTCTCCCCTCCCTCATTCTTGATGAGAAGTTTTTCTTGTATCCACTTCTCTTAGCAATAGTGTCCATGTTGTTAACCCCTAGCTACTTTGCTCATTTCTAGATATTCTTGAGTTCATTGCTTTCTGGATTCCCAATAGTGTATATGAACGATACCTGTGCTGTGTCTTTCCTCTGCTCAGGTTGGCTGGTTCTACAGGATTAGTATGGAATGGCTTTCCTTCCATGAAATCTCCTGCTCTAATCTTTCCAATACAATGGGTAGCTCAGGTCTGTTCCCTTAATGTTGCTCAGTGATGCTAAATGGCACATTTCATTGGTCAGGTGCCATATCCAAGAATTGTGCGGGTTGAGCAATACTTCCTGACCTGGGCTTTGCAAGCCCTGCCACCCTGGACACACACACACAGAAAGATGCAGAAAGGAGCTAGAAGTACTCTTTAGGTAGGGAATGGAGGGTGGATATCAAAGGCAGTGGTAAGGCTATGAAGCATTTTCAGGAGGGCCTAGCAAGTGCAGCAGGAGTAGGAAGGAAAGATGCTCACATTGCACAAGGGAGGGGGAAGCACAGAGGAAGTGTGAAGATATTATGAGGAGGAGTGAAGGCAGGGAAGAGGCTGAGCTGAGGCTGTATGGCAGATTGTTCCACACCTCACTTCAGAATGTAGGACAGGGCCCTCATTCCATCCATGCACTCAGGCTTAACCTGGTCACTCATGGCACCACCAGGAACTGTGGCTGGGAGGACAGCCTCACCACAACTGCCTGCCCCTCATTCTGTGGCTGTGTAATCCTGAGGATCACAGATCAAACAGAGCCCTGCCTGACTTTTTTTTTCTTTTCCTTTTTTCATGGAATAGTTGGAAATGCTGTCTGAAGATGCTGGAAAGAAAGACCCTCCCATATAGAAGAAATGGGGGTTGATACAGGTATGTATGGGGAAGTGACACTGGCTAAGTTAGGTGATATACTTAAGGTCACGCAGAAAGTCTGTAGCTAAGCCAGGAAGTGATTCTAGGCCTCCTGAATCTGCATTCATTGACCTACCCAGAGACCATCATTGCTGCCCTACCATCTCACACGCAGCACTGCAGGAAAGAGATGGTTAGTTCCTGACCTTCAAGCACGAAATTCTGTAGAGCTTGGCCACAGAAGAGGATACAGTCAAGTTGGTTATCAGCAATCTTCCCTCTAAGATATAGCTATCTGTGAGCGCAGTTCATGATCACACTGCTTTGGTCCCACCTCTTAGAGGGAACATTGATTGCTACACATTAGAGGGAACATTGCTGGTGAGCATCTCAAACCTACCAGTCCTCCCTCCCTCTGGTTTCCACACAAAACCTGAGAAACTTCCCCTTGCCCTGAACCAAGTCTTTTCTGCTCAGGGGCTCCAGTTCTTCCTCTGAGGATGAGATTCCTCTTCTTAATCTTAAAGCTCAATCTCTCCTTTAAATCCTGAGCCTCAGCCCTGCCCTGCAAGCCCATGCCCTATGAGACCTTCTTGGCCTGCACAGTATTTCTCAGCTGTTTGTTAATGGGAAGAACAGCCAAATCCCCTTTGCTTGAGGGTGAAGCTGGCAGGGCTCGGGTCAAAGCTCGCCTGAAGGGGTTGGTGAGTGCAGCAGTTCCCCAGAGCCAGCGGATCCCGTGCTGTGCCTGGCTCTGCCCCACTCCAGCCCCTGTCCCTGCCCCCACCTCACCTTGGGGGCTGCTCCAGCCAGGGTTGCGCTCTCCCTCCCCACAGGGATGCCAGCGCTGTGAGGAGTGGAGTGGCCCCTGCTCAGCTGAGCGGTAAGTGTGCTGCACTCCAGGAGTGGTGCCCAAAGTTTCTGGGAATGCCACAGCCCTGCTGCTCCTCTCTGGGAAGGTCCTTGGCACCAGGGGCCACAGTCCTCCAGCCACAGTCAGCATCAGAGCTCCTTGTGGCCCTGGGGGAGACCCAGTTCCTCCAGCTGTGGGAACACTCCCCACAGTGCAGTTACTGCACAGAAATATTTTTTATTGTGTGCAACTGTGCATGCAAGTGAAATGGCTGAGTGATTGCAAGACTAGACTGGAAATCCAAAGGTGTTTCCCTGTACAAAATCAAATCCTCTCCACAGGAGTGGCTTGTTTCTTGAGGAAGGACCTTGGTCTACATGACTTTTGCAGACCCTTGCTTTAGTCTTCTATATTAAGTGACTGCTCTTTTTTTCTCCACAGCAGCTGCTGCCAGTGTTCCAAAAAAGTCTTCCTTTTTAAAGAAGATACCAAGTGCTCTGTCCAAAGTGCGCTCTCTTGTCTCAAGTTGCCTACTACACTACAGGAAATTTCAGAAAGTCACACCAGAGATTATACCTACTTAATTATATCTATTATACCTTGCCTTAAGAAAAACAGGAAACATATAAATAGAGTTAGGAAAAAATGTGGTGTGGTGGAGGCTGCTAATTGCACTTTGTGATAATTTGCAAGTTCATTCTCATATAGTTAAACTCAACAAAGAGGGCAGACAGAGAAGGCAGACTGGAGGCTTACTCCACAGGGAGGAGGGAGGCTCCTTTTTGGATGCATTATTTAGGAGTTAAGGTGCACTTCCAAGCAGTTGGCTGTGCCACTGGAGGGGTGTTGGAGAGAGAGGGCAAGAGCCAGCCCAACCAGCAGGTAGAGCCTCAAAGGGCCAGAGAACTCCTTGAGATAACTTGGAGGTGCCATCTAGCAAGGGTAGGGAGATAAAGCCAGCAGATAATACCATTTGGACATGACAGCATTCTCCACCTGGAATCACAGGGTAATCATAAGGCCCCTGAATCACAGGAGCTGACACATCATTCTCAGGAAACAATTTTCTGAATCTTTACCTACTGTGAGTTGGGTTTAACCAAAACTCCCTAAGCAAAAGACCATCGTGGCACAGCTGCCTGAGGGGAGCAAACACCCAGGACTGAGGTCCAGTCTGTCTTGGCCTGGCAGCATGGAGAGATAAAGGGAATGTCAGTGTCCTTGACTGCTGCTCCCCCTTGGGAGTTCAAGGCCACCAGAGGAGTCTTCAGATTCACTTCTATGAAGGCCTGGATCATCTCTGACCCATCTCTAATTTTTACTGCTTTTCCCTCAAGGGCTGGAATTACTCTAGTGCTGGGGAAGGGGTTACTGCCAGGGTCACTGCTGCCCACCCCCAAAATTCAAAGAATAGGGTGAAGAGCTCCCAAGTTAGGGCCAGCCCCCAAATAATGAAGATTTCTTTAATATAGACTGCCAATACATGTGTTCATTGGCATTCTAATTAGAGTGCATTGGAGCAAACATGATTAATTGAGTCTGATCCATGTTCTAATTAGAATGCTGCAGTATCACTACAACAACATATGTATTAAGCACCTGCACATTTTAAAATGGCCACAGGGCACTTTAACTAAACCTCATTGAATGAAGTTTAGATAAAGTGTCCTGCAGCCATTTTTAAATATGCAGGGGATTAATACACATGATAGTGAGGCATTTTAAGAGGAATGGCTGCCCGGGAACTGCTCTAATTACTGCCCTCCCCCCGCTGCCTGCCCCCGCACTGAGCATGTGTATAGGCAGCCATGATTTCTTTAAGTGCTTGCTTTTTGAACTCCCCTGCTCCATAGTGGGGACAGTTTCTAGGCTGCTGGTTTCCATATGGGCAGAACATGAAACTCTGATGCCCACTCCCACCAGGAGCTTGCACTGCCTCCCTGAGGACACAGCTTCTCCACAATGATGTTCTAGTGTAAGCCACAGGCTGTGGGCTGCTGAAACCTATTGCAGTGATTCCAGTTTCTACTCTCCACTGTTCCTCCTGCACCTCTAGCTTCAGGATTGTTTCCCATCCTTTCCCAGGTCAGGAAAGGGGATCCACTGAATCCCCATACTCATTCTCAGGCCTCTTAACAAGAATTGGCCTGCCCTGACCTAGGGCTCACAGGATGGGAGAAGATGGGGGAGTGGTAGTGCACTGAAATTCTCCATCACTTTCCATGTGAGGCATGTTGAGTTACCACAGCAAGGGCTGCCTCCTGAGCAGCCTAGGATTACCATATGTCTGGGTTTTCCTGGACATGTCCTCTTTTTTGGCCCCCTGTCCTTGTGTCTGGGTGGGTTTTTAAAATGCAAGCAAATGTCCAGGTTTTTGCTTTCCCTCTGCTTTTCCCAGGCAGAAGAAGCTTGAATGCTTGGGGCTGGGAGTAGCGGGCAAGGTGATTTGCTGCTGGGGTCATGTGCTCTGCACGCAAGCCTGGAAA